TATACGTGCAATTAATGCATTTTCTTACATGTTTTTGTGCTTAACATTAGTTTTTGTACACATGGTTCGATTGTTTTTTTATTCAATTGTTTCTACTTGCCCTACTGCAACTCGTCGGTGGAGGCGTCCCTCGTAATCCCTCGTAGTCCAACGATGCGTCGACGCAAGTGCACTTACTTGTGGGGGTGGCATGCGCGGTGATTCACCTAACACGTGTTTGCTTCGCTAGTGGTGGCCCTCTAGAGCCGAGCGAGGGTTCTACTATGGATAAAGCGAACAGTCAGCTAGTTGGCTGGGTGGTTCGTCACTTGGCTACCGGAATTGATCGTTTCCACCAGTTGGCGCACACGTGTCACACAACTCATGCAGACGTCGCACACGTGTCGCCCCGTTTCGTCGAATGTTGCACACGGCCAAAACGGTATGTTTCGGGAATGCATCCTGCTGTCGCTCGTGGATGCCACTTCGACGTGTCCCGTGGAAGGTTTAACCTAGGGGTGGCACCTTCGTTCGAAGGAGTTCTTCGAATGAATTTCAAACGAAATTAGGTTCTGCTATATGCATATATGTTGTCGCAGACCAGTTATAATTACCTCTGGTTACAACTGTGTAGCTTTACAATGTTTATTGTTCTTCACAATGCCAACCGACACTCAGTCTTGGCGTAATTCTGACTAGTCGAGAAAACAATAGTTGGTTGGGTAATTGTTCGCACAACTTCACAATGGCGCTTACTTTTCAGAGGTATCACCTTCTGTCTACACCACTGACCTACTCCACCTACTAGTACTTTTTTTATACCACTAACTTTAACTGCTGACAATTTATTACAAACTTTAAAATAGCGTATGACCTGTTTGCTGATCAAACTAATAAAGAACGGCTCATGCAGATGAGGGTATGCTTTAACCCCAAGAACGAACCCGACGACCACTCATTCGGTAGTTTTCGTGTTTTAAATTGCGAGAAGAGTAATTTATGGAAGACCCCTCCTTTTATCGAAAATCGAAAATCGCTAACAGAACCCCTTTGGCGTTTCGCAGCTTGGGTGGATTAGAGACTAAGAATGCGGACTCTTGCATGCAAGTGAAGGTTCTTTTCCAATTAGATAGTTTTTAGGGTAATATCGGACATCTGTAACCACGTTACAAGGTTATCCCTCGATCGCACGGGATCTTGTCCGAAGCTGAGTCTTGTGGAAGAAAAGACATTAAGATCTATCCCAGGCTACTATTGTAGAAAAGAAAATCGTAACTGATAGATGTTGGGCGGAACGCTTCGGAATGTTTAGTAAAATAGGACACATGCTTGATCCAGTTTGGGATACATAATTGACTGCTTTCGAGAATGTAATTTCATTTGAATTGCTTGTTTAACCAAATCTGAACAATGCGTAAAGAGCAAATCGAAACATTGAACGCCGCGTGAAAGTGGAACTTAACGAAGGCGTATGTGATTTTTCGAAGCTTTTAGTTTTCGGACTTGAAAGATCGTCGGTTGCAGTGGCTTGCTTACAGAAGCAGAAAACGTGGTTCCAGATCCTTTCATAATAAAGAGATTTTTTTTCAGATCGCTTGGTTATCATGTATTTTGCGAAACTTGTCATGGTCGTCGCTGCCTAGTTTGAATGGTTTCAACAACTCGAATAACGGTTTGGTGTGATATGAGGGGCTCGGTGACATTAAAGCGCCCATTTTTGCTTACATCATTCCACATTCAAGATTCGTTTTATTTGTTAATATGACTACATGGTAACAACAACAACTCAAGGATTAAAAAGGGGCTTAAGCCTTTTAACTAACATCCCAGTGATTCCTCGTGGATGAGGAGGACTCTTTGGCCATCAAAGCAAGTGTCACGTCTACACAGTCTAACCCATTCCTTTTTATCTGCGTTCGGGCGCAGCGCTGGAATTGTCTAGTTTGAGATCACCAGTTTTTAAACATTGAGGGTGAATTCTGGTTCCAAGCATCGTCTATTGGTTCTCTGTGTAATTACAGCTGAGCTGGCAATAACAGAGTACCAACAGTGGGTAGTAAATAATGTTCATGCAATCAGTCACATCCTCCAATGTCGGTTAGCACGTTGAGAGTCATACCATCAAAAAGATGGCAAGGCAAAACAAGCGAACAATAACTGACATTTGTGGATTGTCGTTAGACATTATGAAGTAGAGAAAATTTTGATATACGATGTGCGAAACTGTCATAACCCAAGTAACACAATTTCATATAATTATGATGAGTAAACTTCTTTAAAACATAATCCAGTCATACAAATTTTATATTAACTATTATAGACCATGTGTGTTGCTTAGGCTTAAGAAACAAAACTGCGAACACTTACTTGAATCGTAAAATTGGATCATTTCGGATGTCAGCAGTTCTCACACGAATAATGCATTTGCTAAACCGTTTGCTTTTGTTGCGATTGATTTTAATGTTAATAGCTTCTTGTAACCGATAATGAACGATCGTCGGTCGTAGCTTATTGTAATGTAAGGGGTGCGGTGGCCTTAGAGCGACCGTTTTGACTTACTGAGCAGCAGATCGTGGGTTAGAACCCAAACCCCCTTACATTACTGAGTTTATCGCAAGATCGCATCACTTTTCAATGTGAATGCAGATCTAATTAATCCTTCTTACTAAGAAAAACGTCCTTCCCGTGACAACAGTGGAGATGCAGAGGGTATACCCGGTCTCTAGTAACAATGGGTGTCGAAATAACAATCCTTCCCAGGGAAGGCATCCATTTTTTTTTTTCAAACAGGATTAAATGGCACAAGACACTATTGGTGCACGGAGATAACTAATATGATTTACGAGTCATATATTTCGATTAGAAACGAAGCAATACTCGTCTCGCACTCATCCACAATCAAATAATTTCATGTTTGTCCGTGAGAGCTAGACTATTGGAAAACTATTCAGAATTCGCTAACCTAACTACTATCACTTGAGCTTTACTTACAAAGACAAAGCATGAAGAACTTGTTTGAAATTATATGGGAACATCAAAGAATAAAATTCGCCGCCGCACGAATTTGACTATCTACAAGACGCTGGACTATGCTCGTGGAGGACCAACGGAAGTCAAAAGTGACAGTTACGTTTGACGTAAACCTGTATTACCCTTATATTGCAAAAAAGGGTCCTTATCGGGCTTTTAACGGGCTGCGTGGTTACATGAGTAATTCCAGTTTAAACAAAATTAAATAAATTTATTACAACTGTGATTGTTTTCCTTTAGCTACATTATGGGATAACCTCGAAAGTTTGTGATCTATTGTTCAGTTCGTGCGGCTCGGTGTGTATGTGTTTTTTGCTTTTTTTTTAATACATGATTCGTTTTGAGGGAGAAAATAGAAGCCGGAATAGCGATCGTGCATCATGCATGATTTCATTTTCTTTGGAAAAGATTACTAAACATATAAAATGCTTTTTGGTAGCTGCATGTCTCCGTGATTAATCGTCGGTCACAGTGGCTTGTTGTGATGTAAGAGGATTTGTTGTATAGTGTCAACCGATTTTGCTCACTGAATAGAAGATCACAGTTTTTTTCCCAAGCTCCTTTACATTACTGAGTTGATAGGGTCGCATCCTCGCATCATTTGCTTACCATGCTTTTAAAGATCGCATTACTTTCCAAAGTGAATTCAGATCTATATCATACTTCCCACTAACAAAAATGTCCTTCGTGTGACAAGAGGTATCTGGAGGTATGCTAGGTAGCTTGTAAGAACGGGAATCAAATTAACAATGCCACACCTCCTCCCAGATGACCTTAAGGAATTTGCCAGCACCGATACAAAATACTGGATCTCCGGACTCGGTCATCAGTGGCTCTCTACTCATGCTCACATTGCTTGTTCGTCGTGTTTTATTCAGCAGTTGCTGTTATCGGGTTTGTATGGTTATAGCAGCAACTCGATCATAAGTTATGTGTTGGGATATGACTGGTCCGATGACCTTAGAGCGCCCGTTTTTGGTTACTGAGTAGAAATCATGAGATTAATCTCAAGCCCTTTCACATTCAAGATTCGATAGTCACTTTTAGTTAGTTTGAACCCATCACTTTAATTTAGCGTACCGATTGAGCAATTTTACGCCAAATGACTAATCGGAAAAAAAGCGACTTTTTCCGATTTGCATGAAATTGTTCGTTATGGGCAATGATATCCATTTTTGCTAAAATTCGGCAATTTTCGTACAAGCAAAAAGTTAAGATTTTTTTTAATTTTCAAGTGTCGAAAGTTTGCATAGGCTCTTTTTGAAAAAAAATCAAAAGTCAAATAAGCGTATTTTGAGATTTTTGGAATTTATTTTTCATTTTGTTTTCCTTGAAATTACTTAAAACATTTTTTGAATATTTTTCCCAGAAATTTCTTTATTGTCAACTTTCTCTTAGACGTTATTTCGATTAGAAATGTCGTTTCCTTGCTACATTTTTTTGAAAAATTGAATGACGCCCTTTAAAAAAATTAAAAAGATCCAAAATGGCCGAATTTTAGCAAAAATGTGAACAATGTCGCATAGTTCCATAAATGTCGGAGAAGGTCGATTCAAATGTACTTTTTTTTTGCTATTTTGACTGGAACTGCTTGGTTGTCAAAACGAATTCTGCTGCAAATTCGACCCCAGTGATTTTGCATGGAAGTGCAGAGAATTTTTCCCTAGTTTTTGAGCTATTAATAACCACGATAATTTGTACACTTGACAAATCTATACAATCATTCAAAATAGTTGAACGGTGACTAAAATTAACGTTTTAATACCTGTCGCCGGTAGCATACGTTTATTGTATTTTACTTTTAAAAACAAATAACATCACAAATCATCAATCTCAACGACGACTCGATTCTATCTATCCTAGCGGTCCCTAACCCGTACCTAGCACTTTGTCAACAAGTCCATCAAGTGTTTTGAGGATTTGCTCTAAAAGCCCTAGTTTATTGCCAAACTTGTCCAACTCGTCGTGGTGTCTAATTGCTGCATCGCTACCTTCACCGAGTGGCCCGTGTGAACTATTCAACTGTATAACGATATTTTCCATGGATGAATTGAGTTTTTTGATCCCCTCGATGAATTCCTCGAATGTCTTATTGGAAAAGTTCAACAGTTTCTTCAACTCCTCTAGCTCTGCAGGTGTATATTGGCATCTGCTTCTCGGTGGAACGTGGTCGGACGGATAAGGGATCGGTACCGGAACAAACTGTGTCTCGTTGGTGATCGTAATCGGCCCCATGAAGGAGCAGTATGACTCATTGCAGAGCATCCTAACGAACGGCATGCACGTACTATTCATTTGATCGAACAATTGACCCTTCGGGCATTGGTGAAGACAGTAACTGTGGTGAAATAATAAAAAAAAGCATTAAATGCTTAATTCAGTTTGCGCTGGGAGGAAAAGAACATACTCTCCATTGCAACAGCTGTAAAATTGCGACTGATTTTGCGGATGTGGGATGAATCCGACAAAATTACATGGTTTTTTTTCCTCCAACAGAATGGACAGTTTGTTCAGTATAGGAAAGGATCCCTCACCACATACGTTGCTGTAGTCATCACGATCTAACTGCATAATAACTCCGAAGAGGTTTATGCATCTAACGGTTCTGGAAATATTTATCAGCTGTTCCTCGTTGATTGGGCATCCCTATCAGAGCAGGTTATTACGATAAATCACCGGATTCAAATAACAAAAAAAAAAACTTACTGGCACAGGTGGCAGCTGTAGGTCTACGACAATTTTCCGTGACATCAAACCTTGTGCGATGAGACTCTGAATGACAGAAGTCTGTGGACAATTTACTACATCTACTGCTTTGTTCAAGGTATCGATCAAGGTGGACCCCAAATTTGGATTCTCAATTCTAACACTGACTATGTAACCTCCACCGATCGTCTCACGCAGTTGTTTAAGACAGCAGTTGTAAGTTGTCTGGAAGAGGATGTTTTAAAGTGTAAATCAGAGGTGAGATATTTAAACGTTCAACATTACCTCATTGACCCCGTTCATCGTAGGATCACACTGCAAATCCACCCCGTGAAAGCCGCTCTTCTCCAGTTGTCGTTTAACGATACTTCCCACAGCGGTACATCCCTGATTTGTTCCAATTAGATTTGAGAAATATGCACATGCTGCCGTACCACCGTACATCGAGAATATATTGGTGAATCCTACACAATTGCCGGACCACCAATGATCCTCTACAGCTTTGATGGTATCCACGTGATACACACGATAGGTGCACTCCTTGAGCACTTTGCAGCGCGTTACTTTCGTGGGATCTTCTATTCGACACGCCAAGTTGTAGTCTCGGGCAACCGCCGGAGAGATCCCAATCCATGTTATTAGCATAACAAAAGCCACACAGGAAAACCACCGATACATGATCAAATTCACCAGGAGCAACTTACCCCAATCACTGACTGGTTACAATAACCCTAAATTTGCGACTGCCGACGCTTTTTATATTATAGTTATAAATTCATAAAGCTGTGATCGTCCTATGGCGAAAGAGAGATACGGCACGTGCATAGTACGCATTACCTAGGACCCACTAACCAGAATGTGATAAGTGGAATAAAAGCATCGTGGTGTAGGCCAATGTAGTATAATTTAATTAGATAATAAAAAACAAAAATAACATGGAAAAAAAAACTTTCAAATTCAGCAATAATTTTACTAATAAATTCGTTACTTTAGCAGCAGCACACCTCCTCCTCAACCAATGAGTGAGGTAGCTCCTGCACCAACGCCTGAGGTAGCTCCTGCACCAGCTACTGCACCAGCTACTGCACCAGACCCTGCACCAGGCCCTGCACCAACGGCTGAGGTAGCTCCTGCACCAGCTCCTGCACCAACGGCACCAGATACGGCACCAGCTACGGCACCAGCTACGGCAGTTGAGTCACCTACACCACCTGTTCCCCCTCCCGTTAGTCCGGAAATTGCTCCTGTATCTCCACCTCCCAGAAGTCCCGTCAGTACTCCCGGATTTATACCTAGTACATCTTTAAATATTTGCAACAATCTTATTAAGAGCTCCTCTAGAAGATTCATTTTACGATTCATTTCGTCCATTTGTCCCATGGTGCCACCAATTGCAGTTTCAGCAAATAACAGCTTTTTCAAAAGAATTTCGAGTCCACCTAAAATTTTTCCCAACACATCTTGCAATGGTCCTGTCAATTCGTTCACGACACCAATTATGCCATCAATATTCGTTCTTTCCAACAATTTTATGAATTCTGATGTCTGATTATTTATGTACTGTATAGTGGTAATATTAAGGCACGGTTCACTATGATTGCTTCCATTATTGTATTGCCCCCACGGAAAAGGGAATGGATATGGAATGGGGAAAGGGACGTGATTGCAACCGCCATTCACAGCCCCAGTTAATGTACACGAGTTATCGTCGCATTTTACTTGCAGGACCGGTTTACAAGTACTGCTGCACGTATCGAAAGCCAACCCTTGAGGACATTGAAACTGATGTTGCCTGAAATGCAAGATTCGTTAAATTTCTGAACGCACTGATTCACACATTCACTTACACTCCATTATTGCAGGAGTAGAAGCTGGAACAATCCCTTGTGTCGCGAACGTAGCCTTTGAAGTTGCACGAACCACTTCCACCGGTCGTGCTGACAGCTGGGTGCACTACGCTAGCTCCACACGACTTCAACAGAATATTCAAATGCTTGAATAACGGGAATCGACCTTTGGCACAGACCCCCGCCGTGTCGTCCCGGTCAACCTGCAGTGTGGCACCCAGTAAATCCTGGCTGCGGATCCCATTGACCACTTGTTCAACCAATGAAAACAAATTTTTCGGTCCACTGTCCAACGGACATTTCTAAAATTGATCCTATTTAGTTTCATTGGAAATTTAGAACCATATGACTAACCTACCACTACAGCAGGAAGTGGAACATCCAGTAGGATCTTCTGTCGATTCAAACCATGCGCAATCAGATTTTGAACTACGGAAACTTGCATTTCACAACCGTCGAACGGCACACTGACCAAATCGACCACGTTGTTCAGCACATTTACCACGCATGTTTCGATGTTGACACTCTGTATGAAAACTGAAATAATATATCCTCCTCCAATTTCCTTCCGCAGCAAGGTAATGAAGTCTGAGTAGTCTTGCTAAAAATGCACAGAAAAAAATAATCTAATCATTCCATTTCCCAATGATGATTCGGATTACTCCAACTCTACCTGATTCAGCTGGGACTGCACCGGATCGCACTGCAATTCCACTCCACGAAAACTACTTTTCTGCAGTTGTATCTTCACCGTTTCCACCAGCGTTTGTCTTCCCTTGCAGGTATTGATTAGATTCCCGAAATACCCACACGAGTTCGGTCCACCGTAGAGTGCGAACAGCTTATTATGAGTGCCAGACGTATGAAACACGCCAAACAAACTCTGAGCCGTCTCCACTGGATACACTTCAAGCCAACAGTTCTGACGTATATCGCACCCGTTCAGCACGGACGGATCGCTCACTCGGCACACCAAAGCGTGTTTTCCTTCGCACAGTTTCGGCACCACTCCTAGCACCAACAACAACAGCACTAACACGTAATTTCGCTTCATCTCATAATATTCTGCACTTTCGCGTCGGTTCCGGACTATCCCGCTCGAGAACTAGCAAGCATCGACTTCCGCTGACTGTTTTTATATCCACCAAACAATCGCGCGTGTTTGTCCCGACATTATGCGTTTCCACAAAGAGAACGGTTTTCGGGCCTTAGCTCGTTGGATGGTCAGGTGTCAGATTGATAGTGACGAACGGGGCGATTGTGGTTATTTACGGTTCGTTCAAACAACATAAAACGCAAATTCTCACGTGTCTCATTCCATGGGACGTACATGTACAGAACTTTTAAACATTTCTATCTAGATTTTTTTACTAATGGGCAGGAGCTGAATATATTAAGGTTCAATTTACTTTGATGTATTTTCTAGAAAGAAAAAAAACAACGGACCCACCAAAGTAACTAAAATTCAACGGAAAGAAATCGAATCTCATTCAAGTCAATTCAGGAGTTCCCCAAGTCTCTCATTTGGTACCCCTTCGTTTTATTCTGTACGGGAACGACATTTACTTTCTTCTAGGAGAAAACCAAAAATAAAAGTACCAATCCATGAAGACGACATGTAGCTTTTTTTGGAGATAAAAATTTTAAAAAGTCATCAATATATTCCTGAATCAAATAGAGGAGGATCTAAAGATTGGGCTCATCGATGTCCAGTAGGGTGCTTCATTCTGAAAAAAGTGATGAATTTCTGATGGGCCACCCTCCAGTTCGATTCATAGCCCCAAAATATGAACCTGTGCAAAAATTGGTAAAGATTGATGAAGGTTTAGAGGTCGCGCCAATGATTTGAAATTTGTATGGGAATTACTATGGAAGAATTTAAAAAATCGCTTATATCGCTATAACTTTGCTTCTACTTGTCCAAATGTCGAAAAAATTTAGTATGTTATTGCTATGGCAATAAACAAAAAGCCTACAGTTGCTACGCTCAGTTTTGCAGCGTATCAAGAATTATAAAAATGTGAAAAAATGGCAAAATAGGGTAAATTGACAGATGAATATGTACAAGGCAACAACGCCAATTTCATCGCAACAACAACAGGCTTGTTGATCATTGTCATGACAACCACATATTTTTTTTTTTTCAACGTTTGGACAACTACAACCAAAGTTAGAGCAATGTAAACGAAAATCAATAATTTCCCATACTAATTCACCAAAATCTCCATACAAAATCCAAATCATTGGCGCGACCTCTAAACCTTCATCAATCTTTACCATTTTTTGCACAGGTTCATATTTTGGGGCTATGAATCGAACTGGAGGGTGGCCTATCAAAAATTCATCACTTTTTTCAAAATGAAACACCCTAATGTCCAGTTCTTATTTTTTTTTCTTAAACAATGCGTCATCTTGACAATTCAAATAGATATGTTTGATTGCTAGTGAAAAACTTCCTTAAAAATGATTTCCTTTGAAATTTATTCATGGGCCTAATGTTAGGGACACTTAAGCCGACATTAGGGACACTAACCCTATGGAAATTTCGGAGTAGGCTCTGCCGACGGTCGGTTTCTGTTTTTCCGCGAGTGTGGTTATTCCGATAAAAAATCATGGTGGTTTCGTAGTGGATTATCTTGCAATTAAATGTTTTTTGGGTATAGATTTAGCCGGTGATTTGTTTGGAAGAGCAAGTGAAGTGTTTCGTGTTGGAGGGGAGGAGTGTTTGATCAGCGTCGTTCAGAGAAGGGAGGGTGAAGGGAGAGTGTGTGTCTATGTGCACCAATTATAAATCGCCAAGACGATTTCTAGTGGAAGCGCAGAGGACTTCTCGGTTTCCTTCACTATTTGACCTGTATTCGGACACGGCCGGCGCTGGTAGTGCTAATATTAGATCTCCAGTTTTTTTTTTTTTTTTTTTTTTTTTTTTTTTTTTTTTTTTTAATAAGTAAGTTTTATTGGTCAGTTCATTTGATAATAGTATTTACAATTTGTTATTCTAGATCTAGGTGAAATTTCAGTGCATCTACATCAATTCTATCGTTACAGTCACAAACAAAGCAAATGTATTTAATAAAAACTCTAAGCACTTCCACACGCCTTCTTCTGTCTATTCCTGCTAGGACAGGTATCACCAAGTCTTCAAAAGAGAGTCGTCTCCATCCATTCATTATGCCTGCTATCCTCTGCTGTAGAACCGTCCAAGCCGGGCCGACACGAGTACAAGCACAAAATTTATGGAGAAGAGTTTCAGCCGTTTGATTGCTACAATGTGTGCAGTTTTCGTCCGGTACTCGCTGCATTACGAACAGTAGTTTTCGGTGCTCGATTTTACCATTCACGAGCATGTAGAGTTTCGATCGCTGCGTTGAAGAGAGCTGCTTCGCAGCAATGTTTCGCCACGTGCGTGGCCAGTCGTTTTGTGGACTGTTGCGTTCCACCTTTGGCAGTTCGATTTGCTGGACAAAATACTGATGGATTTGATCGGCGGAGGGGTTATATTGGATTTGGAGAGGAATGTGGGATAAATTTGATAGGATTAATTTGATGTCGGGAAGATCTATAGAAATTGCTGGGCGGGGATTATCGTGGAAAAGAAGGGATCTATAGTAAGGTAGGGAATCGATCTCTCGCAAATGTCGGTGGATGGTGAGCGACTTACACTTAAACACCGGTAATTGCAGCTTCAGTCCACCATGCTCCCGGCTGCGCGCCAGTTGTATCAATGGTACCCGGGCGACTATCCCACTCCACAGGAAGGTGCCCATCCTTGACGTAATTTTCGCTATGTGTACGCCTAGTGGAGGTAGAATGGATGAAAGGTACCAAATCCTAGATGTTCCCAACGTATTCAGCACAGTCACCTTCTGAAGTAGGGTCAGGGTTCGAGACGACTGGAGCCACATCAGTTGCGCAAACTTGCCAACCGCCGCATTCCAATTCAGCGTCGTCATCAACCGAATCGAGTTTGCAAAAATCACTCCCAGGATCTTCACCGTGCTGGCTGTTTCCAGCCACTGGACGTCGATTTGATTTCCCTCGCAAAATCCAACGTCAATGGCAACAGTTTTGCGTACATTCAACTTGGCGCCGGCGGCTATTTCGAAACGCGTGAATAGCCCATGAATCGAATCGATTTGTGCAGTTGATGTGACGATCACACTGATGTCGTCCGCATATGCCACCAGCAGATCAAGCCCACATGTTTGCTCAAGTCTGCACACAAGCGGATGAAGGTACAACACTAAGAGGTGCATCGATAACGGGTCCCCCTGCCGCACCGAGCGCTGGATGTCGATCGGCCGTGAGAGATGCCCGTTCACGAGCAGTCGAGAGGTGGAGCGGGAAGTGATCTCGGAGAGCAAAGTGACGAGATGCTGGTTGAAGCCGAGCGAGCGCATGGTTTCGAAAAGGAATGAGTGCCGGACCCGATCGAAAGCGTGATCTAAGTCGAAGCTGATGAGTTTCCCGGCGCGGCGATGATGACGGAGACTAGCTATCCGATCTTTAAGAGCGAGAGTTGCCTGGAAGATATTTCGCTCTGAGTTTGAACATTTCTGCCCGTCGCTTAGTATGTGGTGCGCTCGCATCACACCCTCCAGCCGGGTTTTGAGAATGCGAGAGAATATTTTGTAGTCCGTGTTTAGAAGCGATATGGGACGATACGAGCGGGCTGTGTCGTCGCCACCCTTCTTCTTGACCAATACAATGATACCGTCTACAAACGTTGCAGGAATGTTGCCAGTGAGCGCTTCGTTCATCACCAGATTGAGTTCTCGGTGGATGACGTCGAACATGCGGTAGTATAATTCTTTCGGGAGACCATCACAGCCGGGGGATTTACGGGATGCGCTGGCCCGTATTGCAGCGAGAATCTCTGACGTGGTGATCTCACTCGAGCACGCTTCATTTAACTCGTCGATGGGTGGTATGGCATTCTCGCAGACGAACGTGTTCTCATCATCTGCTCTCTCTTCTTCCGAGTATAGGCGGGAAAAGTAATTCACCATGTGCGCCTCGATCGCGTGAGGATCATCAATGGTATCGTGCTGCATGGTTTGTAACCGGGTAATGACGGTTCGCAAGTGAAGTGTTTCGTGTTGGAGGGGAGGAGTGTTTGATCAGCGTCGTTCAGAGAAGGGAGGGTGAAGGGAGAGTGTGTGTCTATGTGCACCAATTATAAATCGCCAAGACGATTTCTAGTGGAAGCGCAGAGGACTTCTCGGTTTCCTTCACTATTTGACCTGTATTCGGACACGGCCGGCGCTGGTAGTGCTAATATTAGATCTCCAGTTTTCACACATTGAGCATGAATGTTAGTTCCAAACATCATCTGTTGGTTCTCTGTGTAATTGCAGCTGATCTCGCAATAACAGAGCAGCAACCGTGGGCGGTCTATATTTTTCTTAATTTTTTAAACAAGTTACACTGAATTTGGTTGGAAAAAAATTGTGTTAAAATAGAGTTGAATGAATTATGAAGCACGCTGCATGCTTCTTAACATAAAAAACATAGAAGAGCGTCGCGGATAGGCAATGGTTTCATTTGTAAACAATATCGTTCCGTGGTGCATTGACTCAGCAGAACTATTATCATAATTTTTTTTTTTATGCTTCTACTCGGTAACTCTGAAATCGAAAATCATGTGCCAAAACCAAATTTTGAAATAAACATCTAAATAAAATCATAATTTGTTCACTTAAACAAGCTTTCCCTCAGTATATCAAAATGTGTAGTCATGACATTTCATCGCACAAGGACGCCAATCGTATTCGATACTGAATTGAAGGATTTGCACTCGAAAGAGTAGAACAAGTAGGGCTCCGCGCTTGTCCGTCGTATCTCAGCTTTTCTTCATCATACACCCCTAAAATCGCGCATTTTACGGTTTATCGCAAATTTTTCAGTGTCAATCGTAATTAATCTTGTAAGCAAAGATATTTTTGCAAAAACATGAGTGAAAACGCTTTGCTTTTATAGTTTTAGCACATAGAACGGAAATAGGCGCCATGATACGACGAAGTAGCGTGGCTCCCTAAGTGTACTGTTGAACTCGTAGCTTACGTTTGACTTACTCGTTCAATAGTAGTCACAAAGGCGAATCGTCAGCTTGGGGGTGTTTTTTTTTGCTGCTCCTCTTTTCCCTGGCTTAGACCAGCTTGGGTTCATATCAAGAACCTCAAGAGATTTTTCGGATCCGTACTATTTAAAGGCACTGTACTGTTCACTTGTGCGCCTGTTGTTTGGATTCCTGTCAACTTTCCTGGAGCATTAGAATAGAACGTACTCATAAAACAATCATTCGTCGAGCATTGAGGCAACTTCCTTGGAGAGATCCAATAAACCTACCTCCCAGAGATGGAAAATCATTTACATTCATTTCGTGCATTCATTTGCATTCATTTGCCTCTAACTTTTTTCATCAACAAAATTCCGTAAAATAGTGTTTGAAGCTTTTGTAGGCTTTTATGTAAGCTACATCTTTTGGAAGCAACTCAAATCTTTATCTCTTATGCATGACGAATCAGATCGATTAGAATCCACCATTGTTTTTCAGTGAATGTAAATTGCATTCACTGAAAAGCAATAACATGTTCTGCCAGCTCTATTTCATCATGCATAAGAGATTCATTGTTTAGTTATTAACAAAAGTTGTAGCTTATATCAAAAGCTACAAAAGCTTCATACATGATTTAACGGTATTCTGTTGATGAAATAAGTTAGAGGCAAATGAATGTAAATGAATGCACGAAATGAATGTAAATGATTTTCCTTCCCTGCTATCTCCGTATGCTGAGAGATGTCGCTTACTAAGCATGGATTCAAATGCATGGCGACAAATTCAACAGGCAACATTCGGCCCGAAGCTAGTAAGTGGTGAAATTGATTCCCCCATTTACTCTCTTGCCTTAACTTTCGTGCGCCAAGCAGATTTCTACGCTCATTTTTTCCTATTGCTTCAAGACTCACACCGCTCTTCTTTTGGACAACATGAACCTATTACGAATATGATTCCCACGTTATCTGCAATTGAAGAGTTGTTCGAGTTTGAGGAACCTACGGATCGTTCCCGGAGACACTATGAAGAAAATTGCTGAAAAATGCATCAACCACCAAAGTTTGCACGATTGATTTAATATTGTCTCTTCATATTGGCATCCCAAAATTATCAGGTGAGCCTTGAAATATAAATGATGAAACCTTTCAATCGTTATGATGAAACTAAACCTTAATCAGTTCTTTCTAATAGATTTCTAAAAAAATCCCCAAGAAGGGCTTTATTTGATAAGATTACCTCATTAAACACATTTTTAAATTAAATACTTATTTTTTGAAGAACATTCTCAGTGGAATTCCACATTAGTTCTGAGGACTTCAAACGTGATTGTGATGAGAAATTCAACCGAAGTCTAAGAATTGCTTCCAAGGTAATTCTGAAGACCACCTGAGGAATTCCCGGTGATTTTTAAGAATAATGCCAAGGAATGATTTCGAAGTTAGTTTCAATGAAAATTCTAAAGAAATTGGGATTGAATATTAACATGAAATCGAATGAACCATGGTTTTAATAACATCCTAATAGACATCTAAGATTATTATGATGGTAATTCAAAGCATTATTTGTGATCCTCTTTGTTTTGTAATGACCGGACAGCGTTTTGTGGGATTGTTATCTGGTATTCTCACAACCTGTCCCACCCACTACACTCTGGCAGTCTTGTTGAATTTCAGGGCAATTCTGAGGAGTATTCGATGGTAGTAATTCTGAGGTGTATTCGTAGGAGAGTTTTAAAACTAATTTCGTGAAGTATTCCTATGTTATTCCTAGCAGAATGTCAAGGCAAGTCGAACGAGAATTCTACGATATTGGTTTGAATTTTAAAGTGAATTTCAAGAGTTACATGTACAGAATTTCTACAGTATTTTGAAGTAAATGAAGGGAATACCTCCAGTCTCCAGATGGACTTCAGAAATTCTTAGATGGTTGAATGGGAATTCAGGAAAAAAAGATCAAAAGAAAATCTGTGAAGGAAGCCAAGGCAATCAACAAGTTTATAGGATCATTGATACAGATTTGAAAAATAAATAGCATTCTGAGTTTTCTGATCCTTCAATTGGGTTCTTTAATTTTGAAAAACATGTTGGTTATTATACATCATCTGAAAGAATTCCGTTTTCTGAGCACAATAATATTTTTTTCGATCCCATAGACTTCCATCTCGATGTTTTAATCAAGATGTAAAGCAAAATAACCACTTCACTATTGGACACACAACTGACAAATTGACAACTCACTTCCATACAAAAACCTATCGATGAGACGCTGTTACATGGATTTAGGTAAATATAAGTAAAGTACAACTGGACACGTCTCAGCAAAGCATTAAAACAAGTTACTTGAATTAATCCGTAATGTAATAAGTCACATTATTTTTGCCTATATTTTATTTATCTTGAACCAATTGCAAAAATATCAAACAACTTTAGGATTTATGAAAAATAGTTTATTACACTCAACAACCCAATTCTCCACATTACAACTAAAACACATACGGTCGCTGTGGCATGCACAAATTGTAGTAAGCTTTCTTATCCCAAAACTCCACGCCCTTCCATCCGCACCAACCCTTCGCCAGCACGGTTCCGATTTCATCCGCACCCGTATAGTGGGGATCCAAAATCAAAAATTTTAAATCCCCCGAATTGCGATCAAAATCCACTCCCAAAATCGTATGAGCCAGTACACCTCCCCCGATCATGATGGGCGTCCCCTGCGATTCAAAGTGATATGCCAGTTCGGAACCTTTCATCGCTAGATCCGACCCCGAGCTGACGTGCATAATCTTGGAATCCACTTTGACAAACTCGTTCAAGCACATGGAAACCTCCGTCGATCCGATCCACTGGCGAGATTCGACAAAACCAGCCGGTTTATCTCCCACCCGGACCAGGTATTTCTGGATGTCATTGTGCGTTGGAATCCGAACGTCAGCGTAACCTTGATAGATGAACCACGATATGAGAGTCTGCAGAGACCGGTAAGCACAGCCCCATCCGTCGTCGTTGAAACTGTCCTGCATGTAGTGATGGTAGCTGTACCGTCCCTGAACTAGCGACATCCTTCCGTCCGTTACTGGAAATATAAGGATCCGGTTATTTACGTACAATTGATCGTCTAACGAACGGTGTCCGTACATTGCCGTTTGACTCCGACGTGCGGGTTGAATAAAAGCTTACTGTTGCCTTCTCTGAATCGGAATCCGTTGGCCTTCCGAAAATATGGTCGAATTGCGGGTACTCCAAATTGCTGATGAAGGGATCTACGTTTTTCTAATAGGAATTCATCTGAAAATGGAACACTTGGTTAATTGAGTGGACGGAATGTTCCAATTGGATTGGGGTTATAAATAGAACCAAACTATTTCCACCATCCAATCAGTAACTTGAATTTGCAGTTAGAAATGTAGTTCAGTGATTTTTTTTTTATCTTTAAGAGATTTTTAGCCGAAACATCCATTGAAAATTATGTACTGTTTCCTTCGAGTGTTTACCTTCTTCCTTGATGCTGTCTTCAACTGGATAGACGCAGGTCCAGAAGTGTCCCAACCCATCTGGATACATATGATAACACTTGGACACGTAGATCTTATTGAACTGGCTTAACTGTTCCAGAAAGTTGTGCTCAATTAAGCGCAACGATCGGCACATGCTTTCCACCAGAACGTTATAACACAGTAAAGATTTCGTCTCTTTATGCAACATGCTCAACACATCTACCTGCAGCGGAATTCTCATTTTGCCACAGGCTGAAAAAGGTAAAGTGTTAATTGTTTCCCCAACTTTGCAAATCTACACACCTACCATTTTTGCTGTCGATTGTAACATTGCACGCTTCTCTTGTCAACCGCTCGTCCTGAGAGTCCTTCGATTTCTTCACCATCATGCTGATGTTCAAGACTTGGAACTCCGATGGTACCACATTCAAAGCGGTCTTCTTCTTTCCTCCCTTCGAACCAAATCCATCGTCCTCAGTCTTGGTTGTCAACGCCAATAACGATTCCACCGAATCCTCCGCATTCGAACCAACCACCTGACATCCCGTTGATCCTCCGTTCAGTATGACCCCCGTACCAGCCACACCGAATGCCACATTTCCCGCAGCTAATCGCTTCCTCAATCTGAACGAATTATCTGCAACCGATTTCTCGTTCAGCTCACAGAACAGTTCTAAACTGCACTGCAATCTCAGGAACATATAATCCCGGAAAAGATCCGTCTCACTGATCACTTCGTAGCTGATCTCCTCCAACTGACCGTGCTTGAACAAGGATGCCTTGACATCCCCATTTTCATCGCAGTTCAAAAGGACCGGATTGTCCGTAATATCTACGTCTTGTAGAATCTCGCTCAGATGTGCCTCGGCATCACTGCACGGTCCAAACTTGATCAGCCCGCACAGATCCACCTCGGTAGGGAAGTTGTTCTGCGCTTTTCGGTAGTTCATGGTGCTGGATTCTTTCTTACCTTCGAGGATGAAGCCCAGCACGGTGAGGGTGCCTTGGGTCATGATTCCGAACAGCTCGCCACAGCACTGGGCCGTTACTTTGGCGATACGCTGGAATTGTCGGAATGGAAATGGTCAGTTCAGTTTTCGAAATTTAACACCCTGATTAAGTTCTACATATAGTTCACTCGGAACCATAATATTTTCATTCTCACGAAGAAATTCTTCGAATCATATTTCGATTACGTTTAGATTGATTAAGAATTAATTGAAAGTAAATTTTGAATAAATTTTGCGTACATTTAGAATGTAGTGGTGAGCGTGATTACCTCTCACCCCAGCAGGCCTGGGTTCAATCCCAGTCGGCGCCGCCGGGATGTTGTGAGGCATAACTTCTCTGATCAAGCCTTCGGAAGGGCAGTAAAACCGTTGGTCCTCGGTTCATGAGTTGATGGGTCGATAGGTAGGGTCTAGGTGTGGGAGCTGCCTCCCTGGCGTCGGTAGCATTAGTGCTCAGCAAGGAAAACAAGATCGACGAAAAACAAATCAAGGATACATTTAGAATTGATTTATATTTGATTCCAATTAAATTAAGATTAGATATAGCCTAGATTTACATAAGATTTAGATTAGATTAAGATTAGATTGAGATTAGATTTAGATTACATTTAGATTAGATTTACATTAGATTTAGATTAGATTTAGATTAGATTTAGATTAGATTTAGATTAGATTTAGATTAGATTTAGATTAGATTTAGATTAGATTTAGATTAGATTTAGATTGGATTTAGATTGGATTTAGATTAGATTTAGATTAGATTTAGATTAGATTTAGATTAGATTTAGATTAGATTTAGATTAGATTTAGATTAGATTTAGATTAGATTTAGATTAGATTTAGATTTGATTTAGATTAGATTATAATTAATTTTAATCGGTTTAGATTAGATTTATTTTTCTTCCTTGATTTGTTTTCGGATGATTTCGTTTTCCGTACTGGGCACCAACACAACCGACGGCCAGGGAGGCAGCTCCTCATGGACCGGGTACCAACGGCTTCACTTCCCTTCCAAAGGAAGAAATGATAAGAGATTTTATGCCTTCGAAAATCCCGGTGGCGCCGACAATGATTGAACCCAGGTGAGATGCAATCACATTTACCACTACACCACTGCGCCATTTAGATAAGATTTAGATTAGATTTTGATCAGATTTAATTAGATTTAGGATTTATTCAGATTAGATTTCATAATATTTCGAGTGGAATTATTTACAAATTAGCAAGGATCACTTCAATACCCCTTCAGAGTTTCACCCAATTTTTTCACAGAATTTTCTTGATTAGGCTTTTTTTCCTGAAGAAGGCAAGCTGTTGTTTCTTCTTCTTCTTTTGAATCCTATTAACGAAACGCACCAGTCTAAGAAGCACGGAAATGATCCGAAAAACATAAAATGCAACAAAACGCGAGATTGGCTTTAATATTGATCATATATACCAGAAAAAAAACCTTACCTTTTATCAATTTTGTGTCTGTGGTTGTCTTGATTCAGAAAAAAATAAGTGACAGACAAATTTTCTCAAGAAATTAATCAAGTTTGTTAATAGAAATCCATGAATTTTGAGAATTAATTAATAGCAGCTTTTTAAGTTATAGTTGCTCAATTGAATTCTTAGGAACACATAAGGACGAGAATAATGAGCACATGTAGAAGCTTAAATAAGTACTGACTATTTAATGATAGATTTACAAACATGAAACTGACCGAAAAGTTGTGGATGCCCTGTCCTACCATGGGAAGGAGAGGGTTAAACTTCAGTTGGTAATGGTGCAATGAAAGCAAGACCACGCTGGAGATGGCTGGAATCGTTTCCAGGTCCGGTCTAGGAATTTAAGTTGAGAAATTTCTCGAATTCCCTGGGGATTACTTTTACAATTATACTACAATTATAATAATGCAAAAATGGTACAGGCTTAGAAAGCTCTCAATTGACAACAGTGGAAGTGCATCTAGAACACTAGATAAAGGCTGACGTTATGTCTTAGTAGGGACGTAACAAAACCAATGAAGAAGAAGAAGCAGCGTAGTCATTTAAAAAATCCAATGCTAACTAATTTAAAACAATGTTGAATATTAAAACATTACATGATTGATATTAGACATCATTGTGATCGAAACTAATAATTATTGAAGACTCCTTGATATAGCTTTTGTTAGATTTTGAAAACTGCAACCATTTCTAATCTCCTGTAAATCCACTCTAAGCTATCAAAAAATAAACAAATTTCAACTTACCTGTATTACAAATTCCGAAATCTTCAATTTCGGAGTCATCTTGAGGTTAATAGAACTGGAAAATTGATTAAATTTTTGCAAAACTTTCGATAACACAGCCGTGTGATTTCCAGCCGTACGAAAACAATCTCCTACTACGTGTCAACAAAATAAGACGCCCACAAACGCCAGTGTGACTACTGACAGCTGCACTATTTTCATTATCATCACAAAAGCAACATACAGAAACGGAGAGAGCGCCGCTGCAATATGGACCAACAGGTCTGTGCCATAAAAAGGGAGGAGAGAGCACTGACTGTGATTGACGTTTTCAACCAAAAGGGGAGAAAATGAATTCCTAAAAAGAGAGAGACTGCTCGAGTCGGTGAAATATTTCATCCAGCTGTCTCGGAGGTGTATCGATCTAATTTGAATTAGCCGGGCCATTTTTCGATGACATATATTAACCAGTTATATATTTATTTGATCACAATATTCATGTTTATAAAAGAAATAACTATGTATTTATTACGATTACTGTGATAAGAGATATTATGCAATAAAATCAACGAGTGATGGATCGCTCTATTGAGCTTAATATCAATACCTTAATATCCATGTCAATTATCTTCAAAATACTATCTTCAATTATATGGTTATAATGTTATTCCAGTCGCATACTATCCACACTTTGACACTCTATGGAAAAACTGCTGATATCGTCGTTGACGGACAAATATTTCACTTCATCCGAAAAATTCACGCAACCGTCAGAATCAACTGCATCTCTATTCTTGAGCCAACTAATGAAATTTACACCGCAATCCGCACGATAGTATACCATGGCCAAGACAATGCTGATAATTAACACACACGCACCTAAAACTCCCATTGCGACAGTTGTGCCCGATACTTTACTTTCCAAATTCGATATTTTTCCTAATGGAAACATTGAAGCTTCTCTTTCTGTGTTGTGATAGTTCACATCAGTGAACCACACTGTTGGCCGATTCGCACTCAAGGTAATCATGTCTTCTTCAGTCCCATTCGACTCATCAAACAGGCACACTTCAGCATAATCAGGACAGCAAAGATTATTATCAGCATCACAGTCGCTTGTGCATCCGCATTGAATCAAGTTTGAAGCATCTTCGTCGATAGAATGCATATGCAAGCCACAACGGTTAATGCATGAATCGATTTTGAAAATATCTGCATCACTTTCAGTAATCGGTACTAGGACGGTTCCATTACTTAGACAATCACTGCCGTTCAACAAAGCAACATCATCAATTGCGGTATCACTTTTGAAGCGCATTCCAAGAGACGCTTGAATTATAATCTGAAAACTCTCAGTTTGCTTCTGCAGGTCAAAGTAACCTTCGTTCCATGCGTTTCCTTGGTTACCACTGATGGTGAATTGAGCACCTTGCTTGAGCATATTGCCGAGCTCCAGCGAGAGAGGCTTCACATAAACTGAGAGCGTGCCTACGTCACCGAACATGTGATAAAAGAAACGAAAACATGCTTTGGTGCTGTAATTGCTGCTGTAAATGGGCGAAATCAGATGCGCAGTTGCTTTCGTGTCTTGCTGTGAAGAATCAATCATCATAAAATGGCCATTCAAAGGTTGCCCCGTAGTGTGGTCATGTTTTGGGCCAGTCTTCAACAACCGACGCGATACTACTCCGGAACTTCTTTGCCACTCAACACTACCGATATCCGTGTTCTCCCAACCACAAAAATCTTCCGTTTCAAAGTCACATGATCGTTCAACTGTCAAACCACTGCTACGGCAACTTCCAATCGTACGATCCCAATCGGATCCGTTGCAGTAGCTGTACATGGGACCAAAGGTTTTGTAACTACTATCGCAAAACAGTGTTGCTGCAGCTTTTTCATTCTCGTAAAAGATGAAACCATTGGCCACCGGTGGTAAATCAGAGCAACCCGGTTCTGAAAAGGCAAATCAAAGTAAGCAAAATGTCGCCTACCACGATCCTAACACTTGGCTCTAACTCACTGACACAAATAGGCGCAGGGGAATTCCAACGACCACTTTTGCACAGAATGTATTTTGCTCCAACCAAGGTGAAATTTGTGTTGCAGTCAAACCGTAGGAACTTCCCACGTAGCCTAATCCGGATCATTCCATTCAGGAGTTCCGGCTTAGGACAGATATTACTGTAGCTGTTCCGTACCAGAGGTGCGTAACGGTTTTCGCTGTCTAAAATGTTAAAATAAAAAACATTAAAATAAACCACATTATCGAATTAATGTCACCTTACACTTGGTGGCAGAGTACATTTCCACAACCGCAAGGAAAACCACCACGATAAACATATGCGATAAGCGTTTGGTGATCATTTCACTAACTATCCACCGGCCAACTGCGAGTATGTTCAAAGACTGAGAATCTAAATCAAGCAACCCTTGGAAGCGTTATCAAGCAAAACGGAAGAGAGAATTGCATGTTTGCACACTCATAAGTATTTATTCAAAATAAGTTACACTCGTTCCTTACACTAACACTACTTCTTTCCCTTTTTGCCAGATTTCTTGTTGGCTTTCTTTTCAACCTTCTCCCCTGCGTCACCATTCACGTCGCTCTCCTCCACGGCTTCCTCTGCATCATCGTCCGGGATACTAAAGTCCAGATGCTCATCGGCTGCCAGGAAGCGTACGTCCTCGAAGCCTTCGTTGATTCCAAAATGGTTCTTCATCGATTTCTGTTTCAAGCGATTCAGCATGTTTGCCCCGGAATTACGTCGGATGTGGAGCACGATCAACAGAATGACGCACCCGAAGAAAACGACTCCAATTCCGGAGAACAGGAAAAAACGCGCCAAATTCGGTTTGGTATCACCCAATTCCAGCATCGACGGGGAGAATTCATCCCCAGGAAGATCGCCGAATCGAGCTACCAACTTCATTTGTACTTCTTCTGTAGTTGGCGGTGCAGTTGTAGAAGGTTGTTTTGTGGTGGGCTTACGAGTGCGAACCATTGGAATGATGATCGGTGGACTTACTGTAGAAGTGGTGGTAGTAGTTCTAGGTCTGAGATTATAGATTTTAGTGGTCGTTGTTGTAGGTAACTTTGTCGTTGATGTAGCTTTAGTGGTAGTCGAGATGGTAGTTCTAACCGTAGAAGTCGTTGTACTTCGCTGAGTGGTGGTAGATGTGGTTCTAGGTGTAGTTGTTGATTTTATTGTGGGTTGGGTTGCACGAGCCGTTGTGGTAGATGATGATGATGTTGTTGTTGGTCGCGTCCTAGCCGTAGTTGAAGTGGTTGTAGAGATCGTAGTGCTTGTAATGATAACGTCTGAATTATCGGGATCGTTAAAAACGCATAGCTCTGCGTAGTCTGGACAGCAAGTTTTGCTATCTACGCAACCTTCAAAGCAATCACACTGAACAAAGTTTACACTAGAATCAGGAATGGCAATCACTGAGGAAACGTTTTTACCGCATCGATTTTCGCATGAACCAAGCTTGAAAATGTCACTAAGTACTTCCGGTGGGGGCTCGTCGGGAACGACAGATGAAACTTCGACATCCTCACTACTAGGTTTCAGACGACAGTCATCTCCATTCAACAGACTAACATCGTCAATAGCTATGTCGCTTTTTGATTTCATTCCCAGTGATGCTTCTATCACTATCTGAAAACCCTCGGAGTATTGCTTCAGATCAAAGTAAGCCTCGTTCCACACGTTACGCTGGTTACCACTTAGGGCAAAGGAGGCGTCTTTGTTACTAACGCTATCCAATTGCTGCGATACAGGTCTTACGTACACGGATAGCGTCCCTACACCATCTCCAAACATATGATAATAAAACAGAAAACATGCGTTCGTACTATAATTAGCTGGATATATCGGTGATAGCAAACGCGCCGTCTCGTTCGTAAATTGTTCCACGGAATCAACCATCATAAAGTGTCCTGAAACATTAAAAAGACTATGCTTAGAAAGTACTTCGATTGCCACACTCGCATCCACTAACCAGCCAACGAAATCCCGTTAGTGTGATCAAACTTCGGACCCGTCTTCAAGGCTTTCGGAGATACAATTCCATCGCTGCGCTTCCAATCGAAATCATGCGTGGCCTCATTCATCCACCCACAGAAGTCCGGTGCTTCAAAGTCACAGCTGGTTACCACGCCTATTCCGGTCTCGCGACAGTTTCCCAACGGACGATCCCAGTGAGTTCCATTGCAGTAGGCCTTCGATGGACCGGCTACCTGGTAACCACTGCTACAGAATAACATCGCTGCTGCTTGTCCATGTTCGTAGGAAATCTGTCCCTTATCCACCGCCGTAAATTCCGGACATCCCGATCCTATTGACAACCAACTGTTATTAGTCAAAATTCTCCTAGACATGAGTCACTTCCTGTCTCTTTCATGCAAACACTTACTTATACAGATAGGTATGGAAGTATCCCAACGGCCCTTCTCGCACATGGAGTACGTATTTCCGACCAATTGGAATCCACTTGCACACGTGAACCGAATCATTTTGTTCCGCTGACGTGGTTTGGCCACTCCATTGGGAAAGTACGGCGTAGGGCACTCGGGACCACTTTTGAGCTGCGGCAGTTTCATCGGTCGACCCGGACGGAATTGGGTTACTACGGTGAGATTTGATAAGGTTATTTTTATTTGACCTCTGGCAGCATTTGAACGGGAACTTACGTCGGTATTGGGCTTGACCGGTGGCGATGGAAAGTTCCAGCGTCAACCATAGCGCCACCGCCAAGATTGAAACTTCTGATAAGTAAAGAAGCATTGAGATTGTAAAAAAAAGTTGCACTGAACTGGTCAACTACAAGTTTGGAAGGAAACTGAATAAGATACTCTTGAATGAAAGTTAATGAATGAAGAAACAACTAGGGTTTATCGTGTTTTTGTCTGAACATTCCGAGGGAGGGGAAAGCAAAGAAACGGAGAATTGATAAGAACGCTGTTGAAGAGAAGGATGGTGTAAATGCTAAACTAGAGAAGTATGCAAATTATTTCAAGTCAATGTGTGTGCATCAGGAATGAGAAAGTACGGAAGATAATATGTAAATGTAAAGGAATTAAGATAGAGGCAAAAAAAAACCGGAGGATTTAAAAAAAAATTGATAAGCATTATCACAACAATCAAGATGAAAGTACTTATTCATTTTACCATGCATACATATTTAAATGTTCAGAAACTCCTCGAGGAGATTAAAAAAAATATAATTTCGGATACACATTACTTCGCGTATGAATTTTACTAACTTATGTTTTCTGCAGCGCAGCAAACAAAGAAAATAGCACCCTTTTCAAGCTTTTCAACACCTGTTTATATAATATTACACTATATAACACTATCCAAGAGTCACTGGTGGTGGCTCAAAAAATTGGCTTTACTGTCATATTTTTTAAGAATGATTCCTAGTGCAAAATGTGCTTAGAGTCATTTTGTAACGCCAAAATAAAAATGTGCTTGTAGATATGTTAAATTGTAAAGACCTTAATATTGCACATTTTACAGCATAGTAGGCTCCTGCACTAAACATAATCCTTCAATTATTATTTGCTTGGCAACGGAAAATTAAAATTGTAAAAATGTAGCGCGACGCTCATAATGGTTATTTTTACCCTTCTTACAGAGAAGGGTATAGATATCACTTGAAAAACCGACTATCGATCCGAGGCCCGGAGGGCCGAGTGTCATATACCATTCGACTCAGCTCGACGAGATCGGAAAATGTCTGTGTGTATGTGTGTGTACGTGTGTATGTGTGTATGTGTGTGTGTATGTAACGAAATGAATGCGCTCACGTTTCTCAGCAACCGCTCAACCGATTTGGACAAACTTGGCGCCAAATGATAGGTCTTGGGTTCCCATTGAACGCTATTGAATGGTTTTGGAATCGGTGAACCGGTTCCAGAGATATGGCCGGAATAAGATCCGGTGAATATGGGCCTTCACGCTGGATTTAACGGAAAACGTATCAAAACCATCATGCGACACATCAAATTACTACAGAATTCAAAAATAAGATCAATGCAAGTCGTGTTAAGTGTTCCAGACCACATTGGACACACTTGGACATGTTCCGGGTACCCCGGGGAAGTTGCTTGAATATGAATTGAAATAAAACCCATTAAATCACATTAAAATACGATGATAAGGTAATTGGTAGCCTCACCAAATAGACTACACCCGGATATATTCCGGGTACCCCCAGGCAGTGGCGTAGCGTCACTGGATGACACGGGGGTGGGGGGCTTGGTCACTGATAATGACAATAAAATTAATAAACTTGAATAAGTAAGAAGGGTCTGATCACACCATAGGTGGATAAATTCGGGTTTTTATATCTGGAAATGACGAAATAATCTAAGGGATTGGTGTTTAGCACAGGAATCTACTATGGTGTGAAATGCACAATAACCAGACATGAACTTTTCAGGGGTCATCCGCAAACTATGTACACACTTAGATTTTGTTTCCGTATTCGGTAAATTTTACCAAAATCAGAACAGCTGAACGTTCGGCAAAAGTTTGACCTTCATTTTAAAGGCTATTGAATTTGAAAATAATATCAAAACATGTTCAACCTTGTTTAAATCATCAAATAATGTCATTTTAGTGGAGATTTTGTTTCAAAGTAGTTGAAAAGCAATTGAATTGAATTGCATAAATTTTACCGAAAAAAAAACAGCTGTTCAGATTTCGGTAAAACTTACCGAAGTCGGCGATAATTTCTAAGTGTGTACGAATATGTCCGTTTGATTATTAGGTCCCCCCTTCTTTGCGGCAGCAAGCTTTTACTTTATTTCTTTATTACGTTGAATATTAAATTGTGAACGTTGTTATTCAAAATTTACCACTTTTCTCTAAACCTTCGTAAATTTTCACCATTATATGTATTAGTAGAGTCTCATCACTGTAACGACCATGATTTTCGATGATGACCGTGCTGAGCAGAAAATCATTGACTTAGTCTGAGGCGTCTACACATTATAGGCCTAATAACCTTGGCATCTCGCGGTCATCTTTAAAAACGTCTTGATGATACAGATTAAAATTTTAAAATGCTTCTATTTCTCAAATAAAACTTTTATTATTTTTATCGATTACTCTACGGGGCATGAAGACTGTCAAAATTGACGCTCGTATATGTCAGCCTCGGAGCACCTAAATTTACATGAATTTTTCTAAGTGTATAAATATACAAAATTTAAAAAAAAAAAACATTCGAAGAAAGAGGTTTAAATTGGCAAATTGTGAATTTTTATCCCCCACAGTAACAACCAATTTGAAGTACTTAATTTAAGCGTTCTCTCCCATACCTTGCCATGAGAAATTTAGAAATCTGCAGTTCCAAGCTAAATGATGCACCAATTTGCGAGAAACTTTGCAAAATTGCTTGTTATGATCAATAACATAACTCGAAATCGCAATTTCCAATCGAAATAACGTGAAGTAGTTTTAAGTAAAAAATAAAAAAAAAAAGTTGTTATGCCAAAAATAATAAAAAATACCCAACCAATATATTTTTTATAAAAAATCCAAACTTCTGTGAAAAATGTTCAAGGTGGACACTTTTTTTTTCCGTGGTTTGTTTTTCGTTGAAAAAAACCTAACCAGGGTTAGGTTATTTTATTAAAGAGACTTTCAGCCACTCTACAAACCATGAAAACCAAAAAAAAAACAAATGCGATCAATATTTTTCAATACAAAATCACATTTTTTTTTAAAAACCTTTCATTTGATATTTTGATGATTGAAATCGGCCCAGTCTTTCAAAAGTTATTTTCGAAAAAAAGTCATTTTAAAAAATCGATTTTTTGGACCACCTTAACATGGAAATGATCTACAAAAAAATGCAGATGTAACATTGTGCAATAAGGAACAAAACTACGAATTTTTACGAAATTCTGAGAACCACTATATCGTTTTGCTATGGAATGGCTGATGTATGTATGATGGTGCAAACATTATCACGCATGCGGTATTTCGAAACCTTTGTCCAATGCATTTAAATCTGCAGTGAAAATTCATCAGAGCAGGCATATGTGTTGATTGTCTGATGCAGCTCTAGCCTCAGCTAACACTCCTGGACCCACATCTGAACTTTTTAACCAATCCTCAACCCAAGATGTCGAACCTCAACGAAAGAGTACTGGATTTTAATGCTGTTATCCATTTATTGTGTATTACCTAACGCAATTTTTCAACAAAAAAGAGTATCATATAATATGCATTTCCACTACTATGAATATCTCCTTGTCAAGTGATTTCACTAGTCTATAATATATATATATATATAAATAGAAATATCAACTTCACTCACGTGTGATTTCTCAGCTTATGTATAGAAAATCCTCTTCAAGAATTTGTCTGTGTCTGATTTTTCCGTTAGATACGTGTGCATTCTTTATTGATGTGTACGTGTAAGTGTATGTATGTAAATGTTCTTGTGTTTGTCGTGTATGTGAAGCTAGGAATGTCTGTTTCACTCTGATTTTCTATTTATGAAGGTGAATCTTCTCTTAAACACTCTCTATCACCAACACTTTCACGACAATTGCTCATCATCTACTTCTGGTAGGTATATCTAATCTCTCATCACTATCATTTGATTATCTCATTGTACATTCTCGCTTAGTCTTGCTTGTCACCATTTTTCACATTATTTTTTTCTTATATTTTGCTCTATAATTGTAATTTTGTCCTATCTCAGTCCATTGCTTGCCTTTATGTGGATACGAAATGGCATTGCCCTACTACTGTAACATGTGTGTACGAGTGATACTCATCGTTTGTAAGCTACTGTCTTCACTTGCCTTGCACATTTGCAAGGAATCGCTTATTGCCTAAAGGGTAACAGAATAATGGAAATCCTCTAATGATTGTTTTATGTTGGTTGAAGAACTGGGCGAGATATACTGACGGAAATAGGATTCATATTAAGCTTTCATGAATTTATGTTTATTTAGTACGGAGTGCCTCCAATTTGATCGTTGTCTAAATTAGGTAGTACAGACAACATTTTTTTTTTCCTTTTTCTATACTGGATACATTTAACTGATTTCGGCTTGTTTTGGTTTGTTTGTTTGTTTGTTGTGTTGGGTATGTTTGTTATTCCACATTTAGCGTTTAGTTCGATTGGTTTGTTTTATTTCCATCGCGTATCCTATTGTAGTCCTTTATTTCTCCTTTTATTTTGCTGGTTTATTGTTACAATGATGTCTGAGCCAGTGACTTCGTTTACATTACTGTCGAATGCTTAATGTTTTCTTGTTTGGTATCTGTTTCATTAGCTAAATTCCTTAATTAGTATTTACAGCGGCATTTACAGTTACAGTCGTGCATGCTATTGTAAGTTGAAAGTAGACTGTAATTGTTGAGAGGCTTATTATCGTCGATTTCATTATGTTTATCTTTTTGGTACCAATTTCTCGCTTATTGAAGTTGATATTTCTCCATCTCGTACAGATGCTCGTATAGCTGATCTTGGTCTGGCGACATGCCAATCACAACCCATCCGAAAATAGCGCCTACACTGCGAGCTATCGAGAGAGTATTCCAGATGCTGAGTACTTTGTTCGTTTCCTGGAATTATTCACAATCATTATAACTTAAGTTGGATGCCATTTTGTCCGAAAAATCTTACCAATTCCTCTTCCCACACAGTCACATTAGAGGAGGACAGATAAAGGCGTTCGTCCATCGATCCAGCCGACAGACTAAGGACAATCGTTGCTGCATAGATCATAATGATAACCACCGATCGAAAGGAAATGTTATTATCCGCTGCACTCGATAAGCTGAAGTGTGATATGTCCATTCTGTAACAATACGAAAATGTAAAAACATTACCCTACCAATCCAATTACCATTCCGGAAACGATTGTTATGCAATGCGGAACATCAAAGCCCCGAAGTCTTTAGGAAGCAAAACAAACGATTGGCACGAGTCCAATATGCATGTCGCTCTCTGCCACACCTACCTATCGAATATCGAAACCATACAGACGATTGCTAAGCAGTAGAACGTATTGGCGTAGACTTCCGCAAAGGCCGAATAGTGACGAATCGACGCTTCGACCCAATCGTACGGTTTGGTCGTACATATCAGCAGTAGATGAGCCAGGGCGAGTCCTCCCAGCAGACCGTGGCACACGTTGGACATGTGCAACCATAAGCTTTGCACTGCACAGGACAAATGGACCGCGGTTCTTATTGTATAGCTGCGGAAGGAAGCATGCAAAGACAAAACTGTAAGCCCATTTCGAATGACAGATTGGATCATCATACTTATTGCTTTCAGGGTCACCACCACCGCCCGGCTGGAGATGGTGATGATGGTGCGAATGATGCTGGAGGTGATGGTGATACGTATTGTCTACTGGTCGATATCCACTAGCCGTCTGTATGTACATCTTATCGATTCTGGTCGGGGCCGTATCCGTCGTGGGCGAAACGACAGGCGTGAAAGGGTTGTAGATTTCACCATGGTAGTTGGATGTGTCGTCGCCTGGTGGAAAAAAATGTGGAATGATCTTAGCTTTAATTTGAGAACGAGTCTTAGGGTGCTTCATTTTGAAAAAAGAGCTTGCAATTTAATAGACCACCCCTAATTTCGTTCATAACCCAAAAATATGAACCTATGCTAAACATGGTTAACATTGATGAGAGTTTAAAGGTCGCACATGTATGGTTGAATGATATGTATGTATGCAGCATCCTTAACATGATAACGTGTGTATATTAAGTGATGTTCAAAATTGTTTTCCATTAGTATATTCATGATTTATTTTAAAACCTCAATGTTTAGTAAAAGTGTAAACGTGTAAAACTAAAACAGCAAATGCTGCATACAAAAATGAGGTTACTGGAGACGCTGTGCCATAATAACCAACCAGCCAGCCCGCCGGGGGATACTAATAGTGTTGGAAAGGAAATTTGAGTGACTATCTCTAATAAATATTTGATTTTAATAATAATGTTTGCCCTTCTGATGCAAACTTGATTATTTACCTCTACAGTGCTCAAAAATTACTTGTTAGACACTGACTTTGCACAAACCATTTGAAGTTTATATGGGAATTAGATCTAGGAAATCAAACTATTTGTTCATTACCTTTAAACACTTTACTATATTACTCTCAGAAACCGTGCTTATTTTTGTAGGAAATTTTCTCAGCTACAACTTAGCTGGGGACTATTTTTTAGCCAAACGTAAAACCATAGAGGTAACTCTAAGACGAGTAGATCCCGAAGAAACGTGCTCAACTTTTTGGCTCAGCTCTGGTACTCTTTTCGGTCCCAAGCTAACCCCTCGAAACATAGGAAAATCCACGAACCCCTCATTTTATCTGTCAAACTTTCATAGCGAATTAAAACAAACTTAGTGTAGTACTAGAATTTCGACTAGAATGTGGTACGCTTATAGATGTACTTGGGACCAATAGGCTAGTCAAGTAGTGAACCAATTTTAAATCGTTAGTTTCCACCGCTAAAACGCTCCCTTTGAAAGAGCAGAAAGTGCGATAGTGTTTCATAGATCAAACTGTGCTGTTCTTCGACCTTCAATTTGCTTTATTCCATACGGTCACTGGAGGGCTACGCCTAACCTGGTCTACACGGAGATGAAAAACTACCCAAAATTAAGTACTTTTCCCTCAATTCCGGGGTTCAGCCCAATAACCCGAATTTGAGCAAATCTCATATATTAGTTTCCATTTAACACCGGAAAAGATTACTCACTCTTAAGTATATTCTACCCAAAATTAAGGTTAATTCACGTAAATTTGAGAATTTTCAACTTACTCAAAAGTTACTTATAGGGCTGAACTATTTCGAAGGGTCGAATCTATCGCTTCTTTTTTGATGACAATAAAGAGTGCAAGTGAGAGGCTGAACTCAATATTAAGTGAAAAGAACTCAAATTTTGGGTAGTATTTTTTCTCCATGTATAGACCTTTTTGACATTTAATCGTCTTTCTCTATCTAGCACACATGGATCAATGGACGGTTTGTTTTCCCACTAATCTGTTTCCCTCTTGCTCGCACTCGTTTTTTTTTAAATGGTGCAGTAGTGTGCGCCGATTAAATGTCAAAAAGCTCTATACAAAGTGTAGGGATCCAGCCTTCACGTATGTGTTGGTAGAGGGAAAAAATGAAAACATTAGTGATGACGTCATAACACTCGAAAGCAACTTTGCGAAATATGAAGTATAACAAATCCTAGCTATGTTTGCATGATGATTGCACTTGATTGTATTCTTTTGGTTTGTGTTTTTATGATAACTGCTCATAAGAAAACGGACATAACCTCACGGGCAGGCTGCTTTTTCTTGGTATACAGAGTGATAATACAATAATCATATCTTCACGTTCAGGGGTAAAATACAGAAATTCTATAATCCATATTAAATTTCCTATGCAAACGCTGATCGAAACAAACGTTATGACGTCACACACATAAGTGATTGAGCGAACGAAAGAAACGAGTCGTACGAAGCAGGATTAAAGGAGAGTGAAAAACGTATTGCACCAATACATTCAGCCCTTCAATTTCACACCTTGTATATACGAGGTTGGGCTACGCCTCCCGGTCGCTAGTTTTGTGTGTGTCGTATCTCGGTCAGTACCTTTTTGCGCAGTCCACCATAGACGAATTTTGTGTGAAGACACTGGATGCGAACCATGATGAGATGGAAGCAACACACCGGATTGCAGAGGAGAAAGCGGTTATCATCAAGTTCAAGCCAGAAGAATCAATGCATTACGCATTGTAGCGTAACCCCAATTAATCAGCTTTTGCTGACAGAAATTATGATTAATCCCCCTAGAAGTGAGAACGAAAATTTATTTTCGCAGTTTTTCAAAATACATGGTTGGTTTCTTCACAAAAGTTTTAGAAAATACTCTTGCAAACAACACTGTCGAAAACACCTAGTTCGTATCTCGGTTAGTTTTGAAGATATGTATCTGCTGTTTTTTGTAGACAATTCATTTAAAAAAAATATAGGGAAAGATTAGGAAATGGTTGGTTTTCCAAAACTGAATATGATTTTCTAACTGATCGACTACCACAACTGCATCTTTCTTAAAAGTCAAATATTACTTCTTTTACGTACTTGGCCCTCCAACCGAATTTCACATCATATTATGAAAGAAATCCGATTTAAAGTATAACTCTATAATGTGAAGGAGCTTCTCTAATCGAATTTCAATACGCTTTGTCTAAATCCTATTCACACTGAAACACTATAATGTGAAGGTGTTTGAGCTTGAACTCATAATTTTCTGCTCAATAAGCAAAACCGGTTGCCACTAGGCCACCGAGCTTCTTATATTACAAACAAATTGCGAATTATCGCTCCTCCTCAGCTGTTACTAGATTTCGGTCTCGACGACAATAGACGACGACAACAACTGCTCTTGAAAAGGATTTGAGTTTTCTGATCAACACGTCTAACAGGCGATCTTCAGTAAACAAAAGCTAGCCGAGCTTCTCAATTAAATTTTTGAGTATTAAATTAAATTTATACAAATAACTGGGAAAGATTTTAACCGATTGATCTGTAATTATAATAATGTTGTAGTCACTAGCAACGAACGTTTGAACATTAAAACCTGCTACAATAAAATTAGCCTACGATTTTTTTGCTTTATTTACAAGGTTTTTAGTCAGGAGCTGGTTCATCTTGGGCGTAGCCTGTGGTATTATGAAGTTAGAAAAGGCTTTCGGCGACTTTGACATTGAGTGCGTTCATGTGAATTTATGAAAATGGGTTTTGTAAATTTTATGTTCATTCAAGCAAATTAACACACGATTAATAATCACCACCGCTTAGTTGTATTTTCTCCATCTCGGCAATATTTCGCCGAGATATGCTCTGCCGAGTACTCGACAGCATATTTTACTGAGCTCTCAGAAAACATTACGTTTGTTCACTGAGAATCAGTGTCAAACGTCACTTTTGCTGAGATTTCAGTAAGCAAATTATTGCCGGGTGCTCGGCTGTGCAAATATTGGGAAAAATGGCAAACAAAATTAAGAGCGTATATCACATAGCAAAGACAATAAAACCACCGGCCGCTGAAAACACTTGACCTTTTCGACATACATAGCAAAGCATCGTCTAGATAACCGATTTCCAGCGCAGGCAATGGCTTATATTTCTTCTACAAAATATAACATCTTGAAACCACCCCCAGCAAGCAAGATGCATAGGTCCCCAACTAACAATTTTAGCTGCAGATTAGCTTATACAGCCAAAAATTGGCTTATACAGCTAATTTTTGCCTGTATAAGCTCGTCTGCAGCTAAAATTGTTTGTTGGGTCGTCATTCCGGAATCAATAGCCCAGGTCCGGACGCTATATCATTATTTTTATACTAATCATGGATAGAAAACCCACAACTCATAAATGAACGAGGAAATAGCTTCACCATACTAATTAATTCGTTTTTCTTTTTCGGTGACCCCACAGCTTCATGGAAAACCAATTGGAAGCCCACACTCTGCTGAAGTATCAATCGCTGGAATCATTTCCCACGCGCGGAAATGTTCGATCCAACTGCCCCTAAATGTGGCTTGCTAAAAATAGCTCTGATGAATTCTGGGATGAATTATGACTCCAACGCTTAAATCCTTTTCCCGTGCAATGTCTCCCCCTCAGACACCGAATAGCTTAATTTGCGTTTCAGTCATACATATTTCATCGCAAGCACTTTTGCCGACTTTGGATTGCAGCTCTTTTGCCAGGCGAGATTCTTGCCCCGAGTCCCTCTGTAACCGAATCAACCGAAAGGCGACGAAAAGTGGCAGCCGAGGATAAGAAAATGTATGTATATATTGATAAAACCCCCGCCGTGAGTCGAATGACGTCATTGCTGAAGCTGATGATGGCTTCCTTCCTTTTCACCACCCGCTTCCTCCTCCGGTGAACTTCTTCCAACCGGTATTCTACCACCGCGCGTCGAGACACCATCCCCAACTGCTTTTGCTTTAGCACATAGCAGCAGGCAACTACTTTGTCATTCGCCCCATCCCCTGGTACTGGCACAACAAATACCACCCACCGAAGAGCGACCATCCTACCGACCGACCAAACGACCGGTACGTTCTCGGTGGGCGGCTAATTCTTGGAGTCTTGGAGTGTTCCACACTTCGCACGACTCAAGTCGACCTTATTCCGGGAGAGTTCAACGGAAAGAAACGACCAATTATGGTACAAAAATAGCACAATCTCGATTTCTGTGCTCCGTTTTCCTTTCGAATCAAGACTTGCCGGATTTGGTGGGAAATATCGAGGTAAATGATGTATTAGGTTGATGTGAATTCGATAATGAAGACCAATTGGATTTTTTTTTTTTCATAGCACCCTCAAAACTTTGAATTATGGTTTACATAACAATAATTTTTCCTGAACAGATGATTAATCCGTGACGTCACAGCTTGAATTTTCATTTCCCAGTCCAACAACTGTAGATGCAAACTTAATGGCAACACTGTAGCACCCCCTGTAAGGGGTACGTTCTAAAAATAAACCCCGCACAACTGTATCGAAACCGAATGTTAAACCATATTTAGCACCTACCAATTGGCTTCGGTACGTTTTGCTGCTGATGCTTCCGTTCCCGTTGGGACTTGGTCTTCCGGTGAACTCGCCTATCCTCTAGATTTTCCGGAATTTCCAAATCTCCCGACAGGGAGGCGTCATTGAAATCGGAACACTGCTTCAGATACCTCATAAGAGTTTCGTTTGCCTGGCGGACTTCCATTTCGCCTGCGGCGATAATTTTCCGTTCCCTCCGCCTGCGGGACTCCGACTTGCTGCGCTTCCTGCGTGGGCTTTTATCCAAGCTACTACGGCTACGGGTGCTCCTTTGAGCAGGACTTTTCTGCGGATCCGACAAGGATTGCACCTTCAACTGACGATCCATATAGCCCAGAATGCCCTTCTGCAGCTTGTCATCGGTTCCAGGAACGGTATCAATGGAAGTCGTTTCCACTCGCTGCTGCTCGGGTGGATTTTTGTTATTATCAATTGCATCATCATCATTGTTATTGTTGTTATTGTTAGCCTTTGAGCTGGCATTTGTCGTCGTGCTGGCACTATCCGCATTTTCCTCAGGTTGCGAACAAGAACCTTTCACAGAGTTTGCTCTATTTTTAGACACTTCATCTTCTTCCCGTGCGCTACCGGGGGTTTGCTCTGGCTCCAACCGAAGATGGCCACTGCTGTTGGAAACTCGTCGTGAGCTAGATCCGGATCTAGAACTACGATGCTTGCTCTTGGAGTGAACACGCACTTGCTCCATTTTCAGATTTCCTCAACCAACCTACTGTGGCATATCCAGAGCAAACAAGCAATTTAACTCAGCACGAAAATATTGATAACACTTAATTACTAGCAGTACTAACACTTATTAGAGAACAAAATATCACAATCATCACATCTTGTGGGGCTATTTTGGGCGTGTGTCCGAAAGGAAAATCCAAACCCTAAGCCAACGACAATCACGACGACGATGAGAGTAGCGGTAGCGATGGTAGTGCGGTTATTGGAAGAATTTCCCGGACCGACCGAAATTAGCGCTATGAACGTCACGAATTCTCCTCGCCAACTGGCAGAAATCTGGAAAATGGCTTTCCACCGAGTGTATCTTTTCAGCGCCCACTAGTATGCAAACAGAGCCTCGGCGAATGGCAAAAAAAAATAATCACCCGACCGACTATCCTTGTGCTACGTTGCAAGTATTGCGTTTTCGTTTCCATCACGCTCGTCCTGCGCAGTAGGCCGCTTGTTGTTTTTATCGATCTCGCGACTCGAAAACAAAGTTCTCTTCGAATGAAGGAGGCGAGGGCCGGGAGATGCAATTCCTTCGATCCGATTCCTCGTGTGTCCCTTTATGGCCAGCTTGCAACACACACACACACACACACGAAACGGCGATCAAAACACAAAGTTCAAGTTGCTCCACCCGTCGGCGCCAGAGCATATCGTGGTGAGGGCGGTCGTCTATGGGAAACTGTTGCCTATTCCAGCAGAATTGGGATACACTCTGACATTTGCTAAAAATCATCGAAACGGCATCGAAAGAGCATGAACTTTGGATGCACGCCAACTCGCTGTAACGACGGATGATTGGTGAACAGATAAAAAAAAACTAAAGAAGCATCTCGAGCTCAAGAATGCTCTGCAGTTTTGAAGTGATAGAAGAGTTTCATTTATTAGTTTCATTCATTTTCGTGCACTGCTTTACAGAATGTTCTGCGATGTTCGAAAGGATTTTTTTGTTTCATTATTAGTATAGTCACTTTAACACTCTTGGGTCAGTCGTGACTTGTCTGGGGATGAGATTCGAACTCGTCATTTTGGCGTGAGTAGTATGGATGATAACCACTTCACCGAGGCCGTCCCTGCTTGAAAGGATGTGTTTTAAACTAAAAAAAAAAGAAATTTCAATGCTTTCTTACCCATTTTTACAGAAAAGGGTATATATGTCGCTTGAAAAACTGACTTTAGATACGGGGCCGATATACCAATCGACTCAGCTCGACGAGATCGGAAAATGTCTGGAGGTACTATGGTCCCATTGAACATTCACTATCACTCATATATCCTGCATACTCCTAGTGGTGCATAGGGCCAACGTTTGATTCAGGTCAGATTCTCGTCGATTTCCTTAATTTCAATGTTGAGGCTCCACCGCCATGAGCCACTGGGTTTACCTCTGCTGCGATGTCCTGCCAGGTTCTAATCCAGCGTTTGCTTGCACGTTTCCTTACCACCCCTTCGTAGTGTGTGATCAACCCACCTTCATTTATGTTATCGAATTTCTGATGACACCGACTATGGAGATCCAGTTGTGAGGCATATCGCAAGCTTTTGAGCGTTCTCCGTTGATACACACCTGGTCTCGCTGACGTAGAACAACAAAGGTTTCCCGGTTTGAATTGAAAATTCAAATATTGGTGCGTTGTACACTTTGTAAACTAGCAAAAGCAGCCCTAGTCTTTTTGAATTGGGGAACCTATATCGCTCTTGGTTGCGCCGACCGACGCGATCTGGTAGCATATATGGTCGATTTGATCTTCAGTATGTCCATCGCTGGAAACCTACGTGCATTTGTGTATGCATGATGCATGATGCATGATAGTGGTTTACCACCCATTGTAGCACGGAAACTAAGTTCGACAGCAGTGGGCTCTCTTCACTGTTCTCAACATGTCACTGTATGAAGGGCCAAAAACGGATTGGGTAGATCGATAGTCAAAGTCGCCTATACGCATCTACGGAACAATAAATAATCTCCTTCCAGCAACTTGATTAGCCAATTGGTCAAAAAACAAGCCCCCAAACAGGAAGATGCCCCAATGAGTGGGGAGAAGAGCCCGCCCTTTATCCACGAAATGTTATCAACAGGGAGTTGGCATTCCTACTCTCCCCGTCCAAATCGCTTCAATCGGGTGCCCTGTTGGACCGTCCCTTCCCTTTTATTTATGTATTTCAATGCATATACGAGTTGATTGTTATGATTATTGTCAATAATACTTACATTTCGATGAAGATCGTGATACTTATCATTACAGAAACCAATCTTGAATCGTAGACCATGTCGTTCAACAATACACTCGTTCCGAGACGGGGCTCTGTGATAAAGCCACCTTCTTCATCATGTTCGCTCACCGGAATGCATGCAAACGAAAAAGAGATACAACCAGATTAGTTTTTTTTTTCAATGGTCCTTGTTACACATTCTTTGTCTTATCCTTTTTTCTTCCAGTGTTTATAACTTCCTTTTCCTTGATCTTCTTCCTCTGTCGATACACCATCTAAAATTTCGCTATCCTCATTCTTATAAATTTCATCCACTTTCTTTTTTTATTTTTTATTTGTCCTTAGCTAGTTCTTTCCATTCTTCTATATCAAGTTCTTCATATATATCAAAGTCCTGATTTAATGACTTTCTCCAAGTAAGGCTTGATCTACCCTATTTTTTCTTGTTGAATTTGAATCTATACGCTAATTGCAGTGGATGATTCATCTCTCTTCTTCTGATATGTCCAAAATAACTTATTCTGCCTACCCTAACTCGTCTATTTATTGTTTTTCCTGCCTAAAATTTTTCTTTCATTAAATTTCATATTACTTGGTTTTTTTACTGCTATTAAAAATGTTCCTTAGAATAATTTTTTCGTAGTTTGCTAGGGCCACCCAGTTTTTCTTTTTTAATACCGCTACCTTAGTTCCGTATAATAACGCTGGCGCCAAAACTGTATTATATATAAGCTTTCCTCATTCCCAACTCGGATGAAATCTTGTACAAAAATCTACTACTAATCTTGAAGTTTTCAAAGCGTTTATAGATCTATGCCTATTGGTTAATTTCCTGTTTAGGATTGCTGTCAGACAAACTCCTAAATACTTAATATATTCACTAGTTTTGAAAGCAGTTCCATTAAGCATTAATTCATTTGGCTGTACTTCTGTGTCATTTGGGTGTCTAACTAAAATTTGACTTTTCTCCCTATTGATTTTAGGACCTACTGTGGATAGCTCCTCTTCTAGGACTTTAATAATATTCTCTAACTCATTTATACTTGTTGCTATTATTAATATGTCATCGGCAAATGCTAAAATTATCGGCAGTTTTAAGCAATCAATATCAATCAATTCAAATTCAGGAATATCTCTTGCCACGTTTTTAAGAACATCTTGTATTAAATAATTGAAAAGTTGAGGTGACAGGGGACATCCTTTTTTAATTCCCTTACCTCTTTTGAACTCTTTAGAAAATTGGTTTTGCCATCCTTAACACATAATAACACCCTGTCAACTAATCTAGATGGAACATTTAAATTAAGTAAAACTTCTCTTAAACTCCTCACATTTACTGCATCAAATGTCTTACTGATATCCAACGCTAAAACAATTAGATATTTTCCTGCATTCCAATATTCTTCCATGACTCGCCTAGCAATAAATATATGATCATCTGATGATCTACTTCTTGTAAATGCTGCTTGATGAAACCCTGGATCTCCTGTGAATTTTCGAAGCTGGTTACCTATCCATTTAGCATATACTTTATAAGCCACATTACAAATAGATATTCTACGAAAATGATCGGCTTCTGAAGCTCCTGCCTTTTTTGGAATGGGAATTTGCATCGATTTGTTCCAGTCTTTGGGCATTATGTTTTCTACATATACCAACTTCGTAATTTCAACTAGCTCTTCTATCGTGCTCGGATCTGCATTTTTAAGATATTCTAAATAAACTCGGTCTGGCCGTGGCGTTTTTCCATTACAAGAAGTATTGATTATAAATCTAATTTCATCTAAGGTAGAAGGGTTTGGTAACGGAACGTAATCGTGTTCATTACAAAAATCTATTTCTGGCCCTTGACAATCCTTCAAAATATTATCCCATACTCGTGTACTAATTTTTGACGCTTTGTTGTTCTTCTGTTTTCTGAAGTTTTTTAGATAACTGTATGTTTTTTTCTTATTCGTATTCCTACATCAAAATCGTTTAATTGTCTTAAGAATAACATAATTTCTTTTTCCTTATGGTTTTTTATAGCTTGAGCCAACTCTTGTTTGCGATTACCTAATTTGTATTTATAGTTCTGCATGTCAGGATGTTTCTTGGAAAATCTCAAAGCATCTATTAAATTATTAAAAGCTTTTCTCCGCTTTGGTTCACTTGGGATTTTAATTACTCTTAATATGCTAGAAGTGGCTATTTTCATCTTTTTAAAGAGGTTTGAGTATCTTTAATCTACCGAATATTTGCTTGTGTGTTTTACTTTAATTGATTTTATTTTTTCCTGATATTTCTTTTTAATACTTGGATCCTTAAACAACTTTATACATATGCGAGATGATTCCTTTGCTTTTGATGCTTGAATTTCTACATCTTTAAGTGAAATACCAACTTGAATTAGTTTATGGTCCGTTTTGACCTGCGTCCAATATCCTTTAATAAATTTAATTTTAAAATTGTTATACTACGGACCTAGAATATGATCTATTTGACTTTGTTTATCTTACGTGCATTTGTGTATGCAGCCTTAAAATATGTAACACTTTTCATAATTTTCATCTGTCGGAATTGGATGCACGCAAAAAACATAGTTCCTATATTAGTGAGCAAAAACTCATGAAAATCAGAAAACTCTCAGTTTGTTCAAAACCATGGCTTATTTCACGAAAACGTGATGTGTTAATTCACATTTTCATGAACAGGATCTCAAATCAATGAACTTAGTTCATGTCAGCGGTGGAGTAGACGGTTGCCGACATAAATAGTCGTACAGTTTTCAAAAGTTAAAAGACTCTACCATAGCTTGAGGTCTGCTGTTCAGTGCGAGCCAAATGGCGAACTACCTTGTTTTTCGTTTTCCTAAATCCTGGTCAGCATTTCCACCTGCCTATACATCGTACACACAACTACAAACACTTCTATTTAGAGCACAAATTAATTTACAATCTATCAACAGATCAAGGAAATTATTCACAGTCATAATAAATAAATTTTACACTTCAAATCTATGTTCCCACCTTCATGAACAGAATCGTGATATCAAGAACAACTTCGATCGCACCATACATGCTGTAGGTCGCACGACGAAGTGGTAATTTCAGCATATCGTTGTTCCGTAGCGCTCATGATTGAACGTTTACA